GGGGGGGGGGGGTTGCTGGCCTGTGCCAGGGCCCCAGGCACTGGGGACACAGTGGAGGGTGGAGGACCAGGCCATTGAGGTCCTGCCCTGTGGCTGACCGTCTAGTTGGGGCTGGTGGATGGGTCAGGGCCTGGGAGCGGGGACGGGGGGGCAGCACCCTGTTCAGGCCTCCCTCCTCGCAGGTCAACACGTTCCAGACTGTGCTCATCACGGATGGCAAGTTCTCCTTCACCATCTTCAACTATGAGTCCATCACGTGGACCACAGGCACACATGCCAGCAGTGGGGGCGACGCCACTGGCCTGGGGGGCATCGCGGCCCAGGTAGGGGCCCCTGCTCCCTGTTGCCAGCACAGTCATGAGCTGATGAGACCGGCAGACACCCACCACCACCCCATCACCCCCCCCACACACACACACACACTCACCCACTGCTGTGCAGAGGCCAGGGGGAGGCGATCGGAGCCCTTTCACAGCCCAGAGCCACAGGCACACCCTTGGGCCAAAGACACCTTTGTGCTGACCACACTGCTGGCCACTGCAGCAGGGACAGGGTCCTGGGATCTGTGCACTGCCTCCTGACTGCCCCAAGGTCTGGCAGCGCTGTGGCACCAAGGACCTTGGGCAGCAGGAAATCTCAGGTGTGGAGGGCGTGGTGCCAGTGCCCAGGGCCTGCCAGTCCTCCCTCCGGCTGTACCTCCCCTGAGGGTGCACTTGCCCCTGGCCCCAGGGGAGACCCAGAGCCCAGCATGAGATACTGGAAGGGAGTAGGGGTGCCAGCCCCAACCTGGCATTGGTTCAGGGAACTGTTAGGTGCCCTCAGGGCCTGACACTGGCAGGGACACCCTGCAGGAGCCACGGAGGGTACCCCTGAACCTTAGAGCCCTCTGGCCTACAAGGCTGTCCCTCACGCGAGCTCTTTGACCTTGGCCACCCGGGGAGGTGGGCGTCGGGAACCTTAGGGAGACTGCGGACCTGGCCCCTCTCCACACCCACCCAGGCCGGCTTCAACGCGGGGGACGGGCGGCGCTACTTCAGCATCCCCGGCTCGCGCACGGCGGACATGGCCGAGGTGGAGGCCAGCACCAACGTGGGCGTGCCCGGGCGCTGGGCGTTCAGAATCGATGATGCCCAGGTGCGCGTGGGGGGCTGCGCCCATGCAAGTAAGAGC